AGCAAGGTAAGACACTACGGAGCTGCGGGCACGATCCGCACACCACAGCGGTCAGGCGAGTACTGACAGTAAAATATAAAACTTTTTTGTTACAGCTTAAAATAAATGTTTCAATGTGTAACTAGCAGTTCTATACAATAGCACTACTTTCTCTTGTCACAGAATTGCTTTATTATTTTATTTTTGGACATCTAAAAGTTTAGCAGACACAACCGCGATACCATAAGCTCCTCTAGGGAACGTTGAAGAGAACTTGTTCCTAGAAGAATCACACAGAGCGCACACAGTTGCCTCTCAGAGCAAGAAGTTGTGGAAGGATTGTGGTACAGACGTACATGAACTCGAAACGCCTCAAACACAACTGGGAACATACATGGCTGACATAGGTTTCGAAATCGCATCTACCGTCACCACGCATTTTTGGTTCACTGGCCCAACCAATGACCCTCTCGGGTTGCCCGATTAGCTCATTAGCCACGCTTTCCACTGCGCAATTCCTGGTTCGATACGTGGACGTGGCAAATATAACTGTGTGCTTTCCTTACAAATATGCCAGTGCCAATTGCTGTGTAACGATGAGAAAACCCACCCTAAGGTTACGGAGACCAGTATATGCTAACCACAAGAACCCCTTATCCCATGGCCGAGAGACCGGGTCACCGCTGGCCGGCCAAGGCCCGTAGCGGGCTGTCGAGCCAAGGACAGGACAGCCCAAACAACCGATCTCGCGACGCCGAATCACTAGACGTACTAACTGCAAACGCGTTATACTTTTGTAACAATAATTTCATAGAACTAATAATGTTACTATTGATACTACAACAGCACCTACTTTCTCGCATAGGTAACTTACGAAAAAGTATATTACTGTAACTTTGTGCATATCTCACCCACCACTTGTAAAACTCATCAACGATTGTAGTGCATTATAAGCGGATATTTAATCCATTTAAAGGTAGTAAATAAACAAATTCGACAATCCAAAACTCCCTTCCAAACACACAATAGCACCGTCAAACAATGGGAAGTTATTCTGAGAATTTAAACCACGTCGCGGCGTTCCCACTCTCTGCAGCGTGCTTCCTCAATGAAACCAGCAAAAGGATGGCAACAACTTCGAATTTTCAAATGCGAAAATTTGCAAAATTGAACGGTTTTCCCGCTCTTCGGTTTCCCCTATTCCAGCAGCTATTGCCGCCTAAAGAGTATTTTTACATTTCCTCCATTATTCCCTACAGTAATAGACAACTGCACATGTGTCTAAAATATTAGAGTAGTTTAAATTAGGACCTATTAGCAAATTTTTCTGAGCCCCCCCCCCACGAAGCCGACCTGGTGGTTGGGAACCCTGAAGGACTGTGTTGGCACATAGGCAGCCAAAATAATTCAAATTTGGCGCAATGATGGGAATTCAATCATTTAAAACAAATCATTGGCGCCAATTAACAGCAAAGAACATATATTTCAAACGTACTGCGCCAGAGATGCGGTCCAAATCTGCCGGTTAACTTCCAAAAAGCAAAGGAATATTTTTTTCTAATGAAACTCTTTGAAGCGGACTAGAACCGCTTTCAAAGATGAATGGAAGATCGCGCCACCTCCCGGCCTGCCGCCCAAGTAGCATGGCACATTGGCGTCTGGCGTCAGATTCTGAGAATTTAGCGTTTTCCGTAGAAGACGCAGCGGACCCATATTGTTGAATAACCTGAGCAGCCGAACGATTTCACAACGGATCGCCACGCGCGACTTGAGTGCGCAAAAGGTTGTACTATTGCGTACAGTTGGTATTAAATTTCCAAAGTGAGTTTGCGCGCAATCCCCGTACGAGTTTCATTACATTCGTGAATTACAAGCTGCAAGGCGAACGCTTTCCTTTCGCCCAGACAAAGATAACCCTGACGGTTGCTTCAATACCCAATGATCCTCCCGCCAAGGGGCGAAACGTCTACCAACCTTCCCTCGCCTAAGGCTTAGACTGACCTGCGTGGAGACGGGGCTCGCAGCGTCCTCGTCGTTGGCGTGCTTCAGCTGCACCAACACTGTGGCCGGCCGCGGGTGCAGCACGCGCAGCACCACATCGTCGAACGGCCGCGCAGCAGCTGCGTTGGTGAACACCTCGAAGCGCAGCGCTCGCCTGCGCGCGCGCAGCGCCGCCAGGCCCGCCAACTTGAACTCGTACTCGGGCCCGTACGGCTTGGCGGCGTTCCGCAGGCGCTTCAGGCCTCGCAGGGGAGCGCTGGAAGTGAGGAGTCATGCTCAAAGTCCGTTCACTGCACTGACAGCAAGGGAAAATAACATAATTCTTGACTTGCAGTCCTAGGTTCAGGAATTTTTGTGTGTCTCGTGCGTCTACAGAGATACATTCTCAATAACACCATAACTTGTATTAGAGAAAGTAGAGGAATATTTATTAAACATACAACGAACAAGATATCTTTTCTTGTATTTTCAATTTTGGTTGGTTGGTTAATAACGTAATTTATTACACACTGTAGAGTCATCATACAAGTGTTTGTGTGTATATATATATATATATATATATATATATATATATATATATATATATTAAGGACCTAAGGAATTATATCCATATATTTGTATAATTATATTATTTTATGTTTGTAAACTATTAGTTATTCTCGGATTACGCTAGGGACAGATAAAGCATTTTCCCCTTCTATAGAAAACTATGGCCAAAAAACCCTGTACTTGCATTATTGTTGCATCGCGAATTAGCCCCAAGAGTACATCAGAGTGATTTAAGAAGAAAAACATAAGGTCCCATATTACGATATACTTGGATCCGCAAAAAACATTGCCTGAAAAGAAATATTTTGGGGCCGAGTAAGAGTCACATGTTGTTTTCTATAACACAATTTACAAAATTACTGTGTACCATACTATTACATTTATATGGTTCCTTAACGCCATAGCAAAGATAGAAATGCTTGAAGATGAGTTACAATGTGAAGCTATTTTACGTTTACACAATTATTTAAACAGTTTTTCTTGAAGATTTCTATTTTTTGTGAAAAACCTTTGGGTCCTTCTGGATGGGTTTTGCTCTTTTGGTACTCTTGCGAGCGACCTATTCAAACTCCCCGCCTCCCCCGGCGCGGGAGGCAGCGCTCCACCTGGGTCACGCTTAATGCTGCACTCGCGGCCAATAACGGACGCGAAAGGCCTTATGGAAAATTCAATAGATCGCAGCTGCCACAGGGGAATTTACTTTACTGATAAAGCCTGAACCAATCGTCCGATTTTCGATCTGTAAACGTCATTTGACGCCTTTTGAAAATAGAATTTACGCTACTGAACCCTTTTGACAAACAATCTGGCAAAAACTCGGAATTAAAATTGGTGCTCAAACTTCCGAGAAAAAATTAAAAAATGTGAGCTTGTAGCGCGATGGCTACATGTTTCCAGCATTAAACGCGCTGTTAATCATGCAAATCGGATGAATAGGAGCGTCGTAAAGTGAAATGGGAAAACACCTCGCCCCCACTCCCCCTCAGAGAGCCCTCTCGCAGCGCGGCGCGCGGCAGCCCCGGCAGAAGAGACCACAACTCTGAGAGAGGCAAGCCAGGCAGGCGATTTACGCGTTCTACACTTTGCATCTCAATACATTTTCCCCCACATATCAAACTACTGATGCTGTAACAAAAGCAAATGGTCTTGCATCATCTGTAATAGTAGTATAAAACTATATAGTTCGCATATTTCTGTCTTCCTTCGGATACCTTCATAAAATTGTTTGAGGCTGATTTCAAAAAGAAAATTGAACTAATTGTGTAAATATTCCATCGCCTTAATCTTATTTTACGTATTTTTTACTTCTAAGATCTTCCGTTACCATTCCACTACCGCAAAAAATGAGCAGATACGGACGAGCACTTTTAGACTACGAATCGATTTTTGATTCCAAAACGGTGTTTGTCTCCTTGATAGAATTCACTTCGTGATTCTCGTTCCCCAAGTAAAATTGCTGAAGAAATTTTAGAAATGTTTTCGTACTTTCGGACAAATTTGATAAACTGGTAAAATAGCGCGCTGTCATTTTCGAATCAAATTATTTCTCCCGTGAATATGTTAGAGAATGCTAAACCAGATGGATGTTCGGCGATGTTTTCATTTTGATTATTACAATTTTGAAATTAAATCTATATGATGTTTGCTTTTACAATCCTTGTGCATTTGCAATCCTTTTGCCAGTATCAACAGCTCACGGCAATAAATTTACATACATGTACATTATTTTACAACACTTTTCCCGATGACATTAATCGATTCAATTCGATACAATAGTTTAAGTGCTAGCTCAGCAGAACTGCGAGCTCAATTTTTCACAGTACTTTTCAATTTTTGAGGAACTTTATAATTAGAGACCGGATTTTCATGTAATTACATATTTTCTTTCTTTTTTTCTTACCGGTCAAAAATTTTAATTTTGGCTTATCGTCGTCGTCCTCAACATTTTTCGTAACATATTTTTACATATTTAGTACTATATTACATATTTTGATATTTTCACAAAATATTTTTTTCTATCAATTATCTTCAATTTTATGACTAATTTTTATGAAAAAAAGAATTTAAAAAAACATTTATTTCCTACATTGTTACTGGGTGCTGTCTACTCGAGGTTCCCTATACGTACATGAACACACGGTAGGGTGTTTTCACAGTCCTTTTCGTCTGTATCAGTTATCTCAGTGGCGGGAAGTGTGCGTCAGTGACAGGTCACTTTCACCTTCAGGTGTGAAGAGCATCACGCTGAGAAAGTTTGCCATTTCCGAGAAAGTTTGCCGATTGTCGAATGTAACTCTTCACTGAGAATGCTACACGCTACAGTGATAATTTGCTGGTTGGAGATATCGCCAGCTTGTAGGATAGTTTCTATTGCGTCAAGTCTAGCTATTTTATTGCTAAACGACTAATTGCTAAACGACCGTACTGAATAGCAGTACATAAAGGTTTTACAACTGAAGGTAAATTTGTATGGTACAAAGCATGTATCAATTTGTACTGTTCAAGTCATTTTTAAAACGTTTGTACCACTTTCAAAATGTATATCATATTTTTTTAATATTACATATTTTATCCTATTTTACATATTACATATTCTTAATGCTTTCATTACTCATTACATATTTTGACTTTAATACTACATATTTTTCCGGTTTGTATTTATGAGACATTAATTAAGCAAACGCAATAATGTATACAAGTCGCTGGTAATGTAAATATTAAAGACGTGAGAGAAATGTAAAAAAAAGAATTGTGAAAGTTTTGAAAATTAAAAAGGAATAAAACAATACGGCGTATAATTTTACACAGGACTATTAGAAACATCCCTATCACAAGTTTGAAAAAAAGTATTTTTTGCGATGCACATATTTCACGCAATGACAAAAACGACAAAAATTTTCAAAGAAATGTGCATGACGTCAATGAAAGAACTAATTAGGGAAAACAAATTTCATCTGAGGAAAAATCACTATCTTCAATACTGTAGTTGTGAAAAGACGCCGAGAAAAATTCTAACTTTTGTAACCTTTAAAAATTCAAAGTTACCAGTAAACATCGGGCCTATGCCACCTTGAGAACATATTTCAATCTATTCTTACAACAAATCCGAAGAAAAAAAATTGGAGCTATTTTTGAGAAAATATGAAATATGTCCTTGGGACGCATTTAAAGTATCCCCAAATTTTAAACAATATTTTTCGCACGCGTAAAGCTTTGAGGCTGGTCAGATTGACCAGTGAATATTCACTTTCGATAAAATTCTAGGAATATTTGTAGTTTCGGCCCTAGGGTTGTTCACAAATGAACAGACGGTCAAACGTTTTGAAAAACAAAAACAAAAAACAACAACAAAAAACTCTTGTTCGGGATCAGAAGGCCCCAAAACCTGCTTTTCGTTGAAATTTCAAAATCGATTTTCCACATCATTATATAACTTTCACTATACTTCATATATTACTCAGTATACGAGAATGCGAAACCAATATTGTAATGCGGAAAATAGCGAAAGCAATCTGCCTGCCTCTCTCTCAGCTCCCTCTCGTATCTCTTACGAAATGCTTCCGTGGCCCTCGGAGTCGGCGCCCCCACGTGCGGGGGCGGCAGCGCGGCATGGGGAGGGGGGTATTGCATTTTGCGAAATTTCACTTTTCAACGCGCCTATTCAGCCGATTTGGATGATTGATCCGGCGTTGGATTTAGAAAGCACTTCGCCATCGCGCATTAGCCCACATTTTTTAATTTCTTCCCAAAACTATACCAAAAAATGTCCAAAACCCATTTTTCAATTTTTTTTCAAAGAGGCTTCGAAGCGTAAATTTTATATTAAATACAAACTCTATATCGTTTACTGATTGGAAATCGGACCACTTGTCCAGACGTTATTAGTAAAATAATTTTGGCATATTTTGGTGCTGCTAAGTGGTGGCGACAAATTGAACTAGTGTCGGTACATTTAGCCGTAAGTCTTGCAACAGACACGAATAGGGCTGCGGTTCACTGTCGCGCTGCAGTGGCGTCCGTCGCCCGCAGCCAGCGGACGTTAGGCGCTGCAACGCTCTGTGGACTCCGCAACGTCGTTGGCACCACGGAGTCCAAGCAACGAAACGTTGCACCGCACCCACCTAGGCACTCTTAGATGCTTTCAGTATATCTATTTTTTCATGATTCGTACATATCTGCAATTATTTTCCACGATCTTAGTTCCTTTAGAACTAAAAAAGCATTTGTCCTAAAATCCGGTTTCTAGGAAACGAGTTTTAGGTCTGGCTGAGTCATGTTAAAAAGATAGAAATTACGGTAATTTATTTTTACGTAATCGTTACTGATACGAGATGCTATTGTATATATGCTGGTATACGTTCTATTGTATCGTATCGCTGGCTATTCTATATAGGTTAGGAGTCACTTCCCACTGTTTTGAACACTTCTATAAGTAAGCAAAATAACTTTTCTAATATTTTTTTACACAGAAATGGCGATGTAATTTCATTATTACAAAATGTGTCTCAAACCTCATCACATGGACTTCATTTTTCAATAAGGAATTTTCGGACATAATAGGGAGTTTCTGCGCCCTCAAAGGTTAAAGCACTACCGATTTTCTGCACGTGCCCAGTTCAATATTCGCACCACTTTAGTGTACCTGTGCATGTGCAGAAAATCGATAGTTCTGTCACCAATGCGTGCTCACACTCCTTTATGTCTTCA